GCTTAGACGTGTTCCACTTACGTCTTTCCTCGCATCTTTCACCGGTTGCCTGCACTTCTTTGTAAGGCGATCGATCGCTTGCTCGCCTCCCTCTTTTGGGCTGGTCGTAAGCATTATGTCAGCAGAGATATCTATGACCAGCGTCTGTGTCATGGAGGGGGGGTGCCACAATTGGTGAGTCACCGACACACCTCGAAGTTGGCTTTCCTACGCCGCGTTTGACAGCGGACTTGATTTTGGAGACGAGTGTTAGGAACGCCTTCCTTAGACTTACCAGCGCCTATTTCTAGGGCTGAGCGCTGTCCTAAACCCCGGAATCAGTCGGGTTTCCTCGAAGCCATAAAATGTGGTTTAAAATATTTGGATTTCGGCTTTAAATAACCCATAGAGGTGCTGATATGCCACAAAACAGAATCACTCAAACCAAGAAAGAGTTAATACGGTGCCCTTTTATAAGTAAGATGTCGGTGATAATGAAAAAATAAAACCTCTCGTACTGATTAGTTATATGATAAAATGTACAATGTTTAATAAGACAGACCTATCTGCCGTAAAAAGAAATTGCTTGGCCTTATTGGATTACCATACACGCAAGTTTTCTGTATAAGACAAACATCAATAAAGATACACACATCGGACAGTATGCTATCGTTTGATGGCGTGCTGACGACCAGACCAGCAATTTTAAACATCGTAAAATAACTGTCATCACTCATGAAGAGACATTGATATCCAGCTTTGTATTTAATTCCGTATAGGAGAAGATATTAAGAATATACCGTTTTTGTCGGCTGTCATTTCTCCCTTTAGGTAAGTGGACATATATTTGCTCGTGGAGAGACAAACAATTCCATAAATATGATAAAAGCATACAAGCGTCTGAAATATCGAGAAAATGTTGTCGTCTGTATTTAAAAGTTTATAGACTATATTTGAAGAGGAAAATAAATAAAATTTACTGCCCAGAGCAGGGATTGAGCTAACAACCTTCTGTAAACCAGCTAGAAAAGTTTAACTTACAGTTGAGATGTCACGATTATGTGCACATTATTTGAAAACAGTTATTCGAAAAAAACATTTATTCGAATTGTAACTTGTTTGGATAAAAATTAATCCAAAGGACAATTATACTAAATGGTAATTATTCGAAATGTAAAGTCCTTTATTGTAATAAAAATGTGAAAAATTAAAAGATGAAATGCACAAATGATAATTATTCAAAAATAAAAATATCGTTAATAAAACAATTTGATAAGAAAAAAAAATCCTTATAGTCAACTACTGCAGAGTACTCGTTAAATGATGTCATTAATTTTTTAAGTTTTCCATTCGCGTCGATGTATTTCTTAGCGCTCTTGTTATTTTGGCAAATTGCTCTTCAGTCAGTTATACGTGATACACGCTTAGGCGATCATGTATCTTTCGATACATGACTGACGAGACCCCCCCCCCGCAGCAGGTTGCCACTTCTTACTACGGCAGATCAGTTGCCATCCAAGGCTATAGAAACTGGTCTGTCCTGCTACTTTACCAATAGCTGGAGGGAGAAGAAAAGAATTCATACCTTTTCCAAGGGTATTAGCAGGTAAGAGATTACCTTAGTGACGAAAGAGATTACATTAAGTTCTTGTACTTACCAGGCTATCATTTATTGGTCAAATAAATCTAATTAAACAAAAATGGACCAATCAGTTGGGAGAAGATAGACAATAAGTTTTAAGTCCACTCCTTAGAAGGCACATACGTATTTCAGAATAGGTATTTCAAGTAATTATCATTTAATTGTTCTTTCGATTAATTTTGAATCAAACAATTTACAATTCGAATAAATGTTTGTCGAATAATTGTTTTTGAATAATTGTTTTCGAACAAGGTTCACATAATCGGTGACGATTGAAAAGCATAAGTAGTCAGCGTAAAATCATCAGATTTTTTTTGCTTTCAGTTACGTAAGAGATTATCTTAAGTTCTGGTAATTACCAGGGTACCATTTATTGTCAAATGAATCTGTCTAATAAACCAAAAATGGATCGATGAGCTGGGAGAAGATACACAAGTCTTTAAGTTTTCTCCTTAGACGGCACATAAGTATTTCAGACATAGGCATTTAAAATAATTATCATTTAGTTTAATTGTTCTTTCGATTAATTTTCATTAAAACAATTTACAATTCAAATAAATGTTTGTCGAATAATTGCTTTTGAAAAATTTTCTCGATTCGGTTTCGAGAGATATGGAGTATTTTGGCTATTATGAAATGCTCAACAGAACGAATCAGTAAATGCGGACAAATATTGATGTTAAAATATGGAGCTGGTGTTACAAATTCATGACGGTTGTCTTCGAGTATAGAATCCAGAGTTTGGCAGTGAATATTTCGGAGACAGTAGGAAAGCGTAGTTCAGGTTCGCAGTGGATATCGCAGCAAAGTAGCAGAGTGTAGTTCTTCCTTCTGTCGCGTTCGCCTGACAAGTTGGCTCTGGTCATTCCGGTAGGGTAAACAAAGACGGCCGCCTTTATACACGACGGATACAATGTTCCGCGGCTTCTGATTGGTCAACCTTCTATTGCTAGACTATAAAGGGAATTATGTCATTTTGACTAACTCACTAGTTACACACATATGTACACAAAAAACTGTAAGAAGAAGAAGAGGATTCATACCTTTCCCAAAGGTGTTAGCAGGTAAGTGAATGTAATAGATTCGACTGAGAATTCGAACCCTGCTCTCCGAGTCCTCAAATCGAGCTGCTATCTATTAAGCCAGCGTGCTTCTTACTTTTGCAATGTGGATTTCTTGCAAGACATGTTCTCTTTTAAGAGTGTCTAAGAATTTCCATATTGTGGGATGATGGGATAACACATGCTACAAAAAAGCCTTATGCCACCCTTTAAGGGCGTTATTGATGTTAAAATATTGCTTGAGTCACATGGGAAAATGAATGCTAAATAACAAAATAAGAGAAAGCACCTAACTTGACGACTTTCAAAACTCGAGCAACTAAAATACATAGCATATGAGACCAGAATAGAAAATAATAACATAATCAAGATACTAACGTTCCACATTACATCAAACAAAAGGTTAGAAAGGAAACCTCCTTCAGTACTAGATAATCTGATAACAATGAGTGCTCTTAAGAAATTTAAAACGGTTTTGAGAAAATGATTTTATACATTTTAGTTGATTGTAATGCTACATGTTCAATCAATGAATGTTGAATGTTTCCTTATAAGGAGACGGCTATCCACACCCTTATTATTAACTGTACTTTTACATTATACATATTCTCCCAGTAGTGCTGGAAGTAATACGAATACTTATCTGCGAAGCCTGAGTTTCCTGCCACATTAAATATGACCTTGTGTCACATGACGTCGCAGTTGAGAGACGGTTAAATAGCGACTTATCTGCAAACCATTTCAAAGGATTTTTACATATTTCCTATTGTAAAAATGATTTGCAACGTATGTATATTTTACACACACACACACACACACACACACACACACACACACATATATATATATATATATATATATATATATATATATATATATATATTGTAGGGCAATCACGTAGTCAAGATAAACACTCAGTTGTGAAGCAAGCTGAACTCCACCTTGAGAAAGAGAGCTATTTATGTTGCCATGGAGCATCTCATTGTGCTAAAGTGGGATAGTCCATTGCTTGGGCTGTGATTGGCTGCTGGTACATGAGTGGAGGTATTTCTGTATAAATGCCAGCTTGATTCATCAGTTAGTTTGCAGGGTTTGTATTGAGTTACAAATTGTGTTATTTTTGACTGCCAGCTGGACGCTAGCTGGGACCCTTACGCCGGTAAGTGCAGTTTATTGTATTGTTATTCTACACACACACACACACACACACACACACACACACACACACACACACATATATATATATATATATATATATATATATATATATATATATTGCACGAAGCATTTTCTAAAGAATTCATGGATTTATTTATTTTTAATCCGACACGTCAAACGTAATCTTTTACTGGATACCCATGTTTGAAATAAAGGCGCTATCTTTTATTTATTTTAAACTGTGGGAAATATGACTACCAGCCTACAGACTCGAGAAGGCTTAATAACGGGACTGTGCACTACGGCAGGGTTCGAACCCGCACCAACCTTTGTAGGAGAATCCACGTTTTGATCTGGCGTGCTCAGCCACAGAAGGCGGCGCAGCGTAATAAAGAAACGGAACCGAGCAGATATGAAAGAAATCTGAAAGAGGAAATGCCGTTCGCTAAAATGGCCAAATAAAATCAATTAGAAAATAAAGTATTTAAAATAACGTGTACATAGAAGAGGCATATTATCTCCAATATTCACGTTATTTTCTAAGCGAACAAAATAAATTTTCTGGTTTTCAATGCAGAGTATTATAGTAAAAAGATTCACATCCAATGTTTTACTTCCATTTTCATCATTACAAAATTTCTTTCGATTGATTCAAAAAATTTTTCTATTTTGTTATAAATTCCGCGTGGACATTTGTATAATAATTTCTTCTTTTTTTTTGTTCTGGTACAGAGATAAGTTCGAAGATAATCTAAAAAAAGGGGATAACGTTTCTTTTAGAAACATTTGAAAAACTGAATTGAATCGCAATGAATTGAAGTTAACTTGTTCGAAGGCCATAATCTTTCTTCTTGTTTGCTTTTTTAAACAAAAAACTGGCAAGATCATCTAAAAGAAATGAGAGCAAAACAAAGACTCGATCTAACATAGCAGCCATTTTGTATAACAATCGGCTTTCAGAACCAATTTGTGAATTTGTTTGCAAATCGTTAGTTGGATTAAAGTCTCATAAGAGAGATAAACATCTGAAACAAAAAGAAAATCAACTGATTCATCCTCATGCTTCGAAATTGTGAAGTGAATCAATTAATTTATCTCTCTCTCTCTCTTCTACCCCTCTCTCTCTCTGAAGATTTATCTGTCTCTCTCGGTCTGTGCAG